AACAAACTAGAGTTTATTATATGAGATAAAATAACAAAGTTAGGATGACCCAACTGTTTGCGCTATACTTCACACTTATTGTTCACAGTGTTACAAGCAAACAAAATAATAGTAGGAATGGAAAAATGAATAGGAAATAAACGTCTAACTTTAGGTCCCTTCACAATTATCTTGCCCGACATCTGATCCTACACAAGACAACCATCACGAGAAAAACGAACATCATAGTTATTATCAACCAATTGCCTGACTGAAATAAGACTGGTAGAAAGCTGAGGAGATACAAAAACATCTCTAATAGTGGAATAAACATTCCCAATAGCATGAATAGGTAACTGACAACCGTTAGCAATTTGAATATGTGCCGATCCAATATAAGTTCAAACATTGCTAAGAGTATTTGAAGAACTAGTCATGTGATTAGATGCACCCGAATCAATAATCCATGAGGGGGAAAAGGAACCATTACCTTGCAGTCCTAAGGTTGAAAATGTAGAAATAATCATCTATTGTACCTTCTCAGTAGTAAGGGCAGAGGAGTCACTAGTAGTAGCAGAAGAAGCGAAATCCACAGTAGCCTGATAAGCATTGGCCTGACGATTCTGGGGACGAGTAGGACACTCTTTGATAATATGCCTGGCTTCTTACAATAGTTGCAAAATTTTTGTGTACAGTTGGTAGCAATATGTCCGTATTCCTTGCAGCTGAAGCATTGAACTTTCCGCATGTCTCGTCCTTTGCCTTTTCCTTGAGTAGCATAAGCCACTGCATTGCATATCATTTTGTTGTGCTGATAAGTGGCCTGGGTGGCAAGCTGTTGCTCCTCATGAAGTAACTCCCCTAAACAGACATCCAAAGATGGCACGGGATTGCGATTCATCAAATTAGAGCAAGTGGTTTCAAATTCAGGTCATAACTTCATTAAAAATTGATATCGCTTGCTTTGCGCATGAATTTCTTGCACAACTGAGAGAGATTCTTCTGGTACCTTGGCATAAATAATGTCAGTAAATTCTTCCCAGAGATTATTAAATCCAAAAAAATAATCATGAATGGAGAGATCGCCCTAAGTATAACTAGCAATCTCGTACTCTAATTGAGAACGTCGAGCAATATTGTCTTGATTATATACTTTTTTTAAGTATTCCTACATAGATTTAGCAGTCTTATATGGCCTCAGATTAAGAACAATAATAGGATCCACTGATCCTAAAATCCATGTCATCACCCGAGCATCTTTAGTCTGCCACTGAGTCAGTTTAGGAACATCAGTAGGAGCCTGATCACTCCCATCAATGTGACCCCATAACTCTTTCCCCATAACAAATAAATGAAATTGAAATTCCCAGGCAGGACTACCTGTGAATTTCACCGCAATGGAATCAGAAGACATGATGGCCAAATTAAACAGTAAAGAGATAGCCACTAACCAGCCCAAGAACAATCCCAAACAGTAGCAACCAAACAATTTCGAAAAATAACTGGTAACGATACCTACCCAGAAACATGCAACAATCGGCACCCAAAAATTGAAGATCCCGAATCAAGAATTGTCGACAACCACCCCAGAAGAGATCGACCACCACCAAGGAACTACTAAGGAATCACCAGAAATTGCCGACACACGCAACAGACCACCAGAACTGCCAACAAACTCAGGACCTAAGGTGCGCCACCCAGAATAAGCCGAAAAGTCCTAAGAGACACTCAGACAGTGTCGAAAATACCAAGGAGCCCCAAAAACGACCCTAGACAGTGCCGATGAGGAAGCCCAACGTGACCCAAAGGCACCGAAAAGAAAAAAAACAGAAACCCACACGAGAAAGTTTCGTAACTTAGGATATTGGCTCTGATACCATGTCAATTGGATTCAATGTCCTCTCTGTGAGGATTTCCTCTCATTATATAGGCACAAATGTGCAATATACAAGGCTAGAATCAAGCCTAAATTAAAGCTATTAAATCTGTCTATACCAAAACTATGTCTATATACAGATTCTGACTAAATAAGGAAGTATATATGTACAACTGGTGAGAACTAAATAAGGAAACATGGAGCGTATCATGGTAACACTTGGAGGCTAGGTCAAAGGCTCGATCTCGAACTATGGAAATGATCTCATCGATGATCACATGCGAGTCTTGCTCTCATAGCTAAATATACGGTTATTCCTTTCACACCAAATGAAGTGAACTGTGGCAGAGAGGATTAACTGTATAAGGAGATGTCTGAAGTCATCCGTGCGTCTATGACGCAGAGCCGTTCATTGGAGACAGATATTATAATAAGAAACATCTAGTACTCACTAGATTTGTAAATTATTTCAGTTTCTACAAATCGAATTAATTCAATTAATAATTGTTTAACGTGACAAGTCTGTCTTTGAATGTGAAGTAATTATTTGAGGTCACTAAACAAATCGCAAATGATTATAATAAAGTGTGGGTCAACCAGATTTTCCATTCTAAGACTTATGCTTATTAGAGTATTTCAGAGAAGAAGAAGGTTACTTTTCTTTTTATGACCCTTTAATGTTACCTAGCTTGAGTTAATAATCTGCAGTTGCCTGAACTAGGGCTCCACCGGATTGTTACCGTGACGGTGTCGGCTCTGAACACGAATGCCTCACCGAATCAATGTAAAATTATATATGTACCTGTCCAGGAGTTTGGAGTTCCACGCATCATAAAACTCAGTTGGTAGGAACTCCTATTATGAGAATGAAATAAACGATGATCCCAAAACGAAAAAGTATGCCAAATATATAATTATTTGATTATTCCCAAAGAGTAATCAAGTAATTATTCTGTATATTAACACGGTTTTCGGTGCAAAAACCGTAATGTGCAACAAAATCGATTATTTGCATATTTTATTAACACCAAAACCCATCGTTTTTTCCTGTTAAACCTATCCAAAACAGTATAATTAACAGATAGAATTGAATTATAATTCTTATTATATTTTCGGTATACTTTGGTTTTTTCAGGCATCTATAAACACCTAAAGCAGACTAAACCTGTAAAAGGTGTGGTTGGTTAATTCATTTGCACATAGATAGAGAACGGTTATTCTTAGAGAGGTTAAATGTTCCCGGGATTGAGTAAAAAGAATACCCTTTGAAATGGGTTTGAAACTGAGGTGGGTATATTTAGTCTAATTAATGAGAAGTCCTTTTAATTCATTGTTTTAAGTTCGATTCATTTAAATACTTGCGGGGTGGTCTACCCGCACCTTTCTATAGGACCTCTGGACTTGAGCAAAAGAAAAATTCCTCTAGATTCTATTGACACTATTTGATTATTATACTTAATCTGAACTAAATCCAAATATTAAAACTATTAATTTAGAATATAATATACTATAATTATTCCAGTTTACGTACCTGCTTACTTGTTGGTAAAGGAACTAGGCTACAAACTGGAAAATTGGGGTGGGAATGGGAATGGGTCTTAGACTGTTTTTTTTTTTTTTTTTGGATTCTGAACTTCTCGTTGAGGCCAGTGGGTACCTTGGTGCTTTTAAACCGTTTTTCAAACTGGTCTCGGTTAGTCGTACACTGAAAACAGTAAGTTATTAATTTTTGAAGTTGCTACCACCGTCATAATCCACCCCAGGCCCGTTACGCCGAACTTCCAGAGAGACATAATTAGTTGGATAGTTATAATGTACAATAGACTCCCCAACTTCAACTTAAGAAGATCAAATAAAATAAACAAATATATTATTATATTATATACCAACATTGTCACAAACAAATAACGTTAACCTAACCCGACAACTGTGTCACAGACAGACTAACCTTCAAAAAAATTTTACTCAGTTTATGGCATCCGAGAGATATTTTTCTTTCTCGTATACGTTACAAATTCTACTGAATTTTCTCCTCTCTTCTTTCTTCTTTTGTCAATCGATACCTCCTACAAAAGTCTGCTGGACCGGTTTCCCGACCACGGTAGCTCCTTCTCTTCTCTCAGCTAAGTCAACCACTAGTATTTCTTCTCTAACGACAATTCCA